ATGTGGCCCCCCCCCCCCCCCCTTTATTTTTGTAAATACATGCTTTATACAGTACATGATCATTTTTAAAAGTTCAGGGGGAAAAATATTTACAAAATATCCTGTTTTATTCAGGACTGCATTTCTAGGACCCTATAGGCTAGTTGTTTTAAATTATTTTATTATAATACACTGGACTGAGCTCTCTTTCTCGCATTCTTACACATTCGAATGGACATACAAATAGAATTATATCAAAATATCCCATAAATACAATCGGTTATGTCTTAAGTGAACGAAAAGTTGAGAAAGGAAACAAGGATGTATTGGATCCGTGCACTGACAGCAGCCGCTGCCGCCAGTCATTAATGTTAATCAAAGAACAAAAAAAAAGAAAATCCCTCACTGATCTTGACTGAATCACTTTGGTAACCTCAGTTTATATTTTATTTGCCTGTTGTTCGGCACTGACTACTGTAATGGCAACGTGCATCTGTGTATGCGATTATTTTGGAGATGCGTTCCAATATAATTTAACCTTATTTAGGGTATAGGCCTATTCTATTTTGATCTGCAGTTTAATAAAAGTTAAACAGAAAAAAGACAAAGTAGCACTGCATGTGTTTGTGAATATTTATTTAAACAGACTGTATAATGATGAAAAACCCCAAACATGATGAATATAATTAAAATACACAAATTCCTTCAGCGCACATTTCAGTGTAATTTTTTACAGATTTTTTAAACCGTGAATACAATATAATTATGATTAATTAAGCTGAGATATAGCACTATAAATTCTTAATTCATTTGCAACAAAACGATAAAGTTTTGTTGCAAACGGATGAAAACATTAGTAGGCTTCTAAGCTCGGCCCTCAACATGCATGCATTCGAAGTTTCGGTAGCCCAACACTGAATATTATATTGTGGGTGTTGTATTTTTGATTAATAAAATAAAACTTATAAAAATGACAATACATAAAAAAAAAAAAATTTTAATTACCCTGCTTCTAAATAAATAAAGCAATTATTTTTATTTAGTTAAAACGGGCCAAAAAGAGACCTCCGAACTAGTAGGCTACCAGAAAGGGGGGGAAAAAAACATTTTTAATCCCTGCATGATTTTAATAATACATAAATATTAAATACGTTATAGCTTGACTACAAGTTTAAAAACAACGCAGCAATTGTTATAATTAAGAACATTAAACTTACCGTCATGAAATGTCTACACGGGCGATAATGCCAAAAAGAAAGAGAAACATCGGAAAATGGGCATATTTTATTAAAGACATTATTATATGACATCAGTATGCATTTATCATTCTTACAATCACCGCCAGAATGTCCAACTTCACCATGGTGAACTTAAAATTGGGTTCTATTATTTTTCCTCAACAGTTCTCCTCACAAAACGAAATTCATTTCAAACACAAATTTGATAAGAACAGAGTGGAAATTATTAGCGACACCAAAATAACGGCAAAGCTAATGTTTTCTGTTAGTTTAAGCACAAACTAAGAAAAGTAAAACCAAATTTTGCGGCAAATGTTGTTTTGGCGGGGACGAGACGTGGTGGAGGAGGGGCTTAGGTAGACGATATTATCGGATATCGTGATATTTTTAAAGGTGAATATCGATAAGATATATATTTTAATCGCCCAGCCCTAGTTCATATGGTATTACATTTTATTTGTGCAGGTCTTAAAAAGGTCTTAAAGTCTTAAATTTGAGCTTAAAAATCCTGCAGAAACCCTATTTTTAAACTTTTCAAAATCCAAAAAGTTTGTTTATTTTAAAGTTTAAATTAGACTTTGAATAACAGATTTACAGTGTGACCCTGCTGAACACCACTGTATGTGTGTGTGTGAATGTTTATCACACAACACCATTGTGATTCATGTGTGGAATGTTAAGAACCTTGTAAACCAACTCAAATATAACCAGCATTTATTGCACTAATTAATTTATTGCCAAGAGCAACAAATGCAGAATAAACTGTAGGCTGTCATGTTCTCAATCGCATGGCCTAACTGAAGCTAAACAGACTTTAACTATGTGAAAGCACAGCTCAGCATTGCTCTGAAGCACCCTTGCATGTGCAGCGGTCACGCAAATGGTTTGCTGGAGCCACGCGCATCTGTAGACTAGCGCAGGTTAATTCTCACACTTTTATATAATATTTATAGCTCCTAACAGGCTGTGTGACTATGAGGAATGATTACCTCAAAATGTACGTCGGTATGCAGTTTTTCCTATTGTTCGCATGCCAGTGATTATCCCTCTGTGCCATAGGTTGCCGACCCCTGCTTTAGAGGATGTATCATAATGTTTGCATGATCTTTCGTCCAAGTTAAATGTCTTTAGAGATCACTTTTCTGCTGATGTAACCAAAGCTATGCAGGCAGGTAAAAATCAGGCATTGGATCCAAATAAGAATTTAATAGGCATTGCAGCAACCTGGTAAAATGTTAACCAATAGTATCAGAGCCTAATATGTTCCCTTTCATGATCCTATTATATCCAGATTGATAAGATACACACTCCCAACTTGTGTTTTCTGTTGAATCTTTCAAATTGAAAATGCATGCAAAATTGTTTCATGCATTGCAAAGTCTGATGCATTACAAAAATGTTCATGTATTTAAATTCTTTAATGCATTGCTAAATCTGATATTGATGTTGCGAATTTTTATATTTAAATGCATCAAATAATTTTGTAGTTCATGAAATTTTGCAATGCATTAATTTAAAAAAATTTTTACATACATTTTCCATTGCACCAAATAATTTTGCAATGCATTAATTTTGCTATGTATCAAGTTTTGCAATTACTTTAAAACATTGTTTCATGCATGTGAAATTATTTAATGTATTGCGAAAATTCATTCATTTAAAATATTTGGTGTATTGCAGACATTTTCATGAATTCATATTTGGTGCATTGCAAAATTTCACGAATGCAAAATGATTTGATGCATTGCAAATGCATTTCATGTGGTTTCATATTCTCTTCAATGCTTTTCAACCTTAAGCAGACGGGAGCGGTCCAGGGAGAGGGACCACAGCCGCTCGAGTGAGAAGCGTCACCGCAAGTCTCGCAGCCGAGATCGACGCGAGGACTATTACAGGGAGCGCAGCCGCGAGAGAGACCGCCATCGTGACCGTGACCGCGAGAGAGACCGAGAACGTGAGCGGGAGTATCGCCGTTAGTTGGAGAGGAAGGTGTGTATCCTGTTTGTCGCTGTCTTTCTCCCCTTTTCTTTCAGGATTCAGATGTACATGCTATTGCAGAGGTCGGGATCACAGGTATGTGATCAGAAAAGGTGAGTCCCGGAACCTATACAAGTACTGTCATTTTTTTTTCTCTACAGCTAATCAATTTTTTTTTCTTTTCATTTTACGTATGTAGCGTGATCTGAGTACTCTGATATTTAAAGCATGTGTACCTGGTCTTGAAGCCGTTCAATGTGCAATATCAGCTCCAGCAACCACAAACTGTTCCGCAATTGTGTTGATGATATCCAGTTTGTCTTTGAAAGGATTTTATGTGTATTGCAACCTTTTATTTAAAAAAAATCGATTTGCATTTTAAAATGCAAGTTACTGCACTTATTTGTCCGTTTAACTGAGATTTGCTGCTAGTTTTTAGACCATGCCAATTTTGTCTTCATGTGAGGTCAAACAAATTTTCCCTTATCATATTTTGTCTAATTGACAATGTTTGCCAAAAATTGAAATTCAGGATGCATTTCATGTCTTTAGAGTTGTGGTTATGAAATATAAACTCAACCTGTGACCATAAATGTGTAGAAATTGGTTGTAGTTGGATGAGAGAAAATGAATGTTTTTTTATCCCGTATTGAAATGAGCAAAATCATGTTTCTCAGATTGTGCATTGACATTCCTGTAGACAGATTTGTTGTTGACATAATAATGGTTGTTCTAGTGTTTAGTTCCTCATTGATTTATGAAAAGCAAATGAATGGAGTCAAATTGATCTGCTTTGGCATTTAAAAACATGAAGCTGTAGTCTTCTGTCAGGTTGAGTTGTCATGGTGTAGGCAAATTCAGATTGTTTTGTGTGTTACGGTTTAGTCTTGAGCACATCTGTACAGTATAATTTAAGAAAACACATTCTGAATGTCCTCTGTCAGAGCAAGTTAAATTTATTTTTACTGTGAAGGGTCATTTTGTACATCCTAGTATTTCAGAGTCATTTGCAGGTTTTTAGTAGCTACTCAAACTTTTCCATCTTAAAAGTTAATTTGTTATCTGAATTTGACATTTCTCGGTTCACATCAATTCGTTATTCATTTAATTTCCATGTCTGTTAATGTTACGCCCTCTTAGATGCTTCAGATGTAGCAGTTCTTCACCATTTTAAATGTAAAATATACAGATCTGCAATGTCAGAATGTAGATCATCTGGGCAAATAAAACAATGTATGCCTTTCGTATTATATCTCCTTCAGTGCTTTATGAATGGAGAAGAACTGCTATATTGCTTTTCCAAAGGGAACGTGAACATTTTTAGCATTTTATACTGTTTTTTTTTTTTTTTTAATTCTCTCTAAACACTCATGTTTGTAATTTAAGTTTGATTTAATATGCAACAGATATTTAATAAATATTTTCAAAATCAGTATTTGGATTAACTATGTGAAAGCACAGCTCAGCATTGCTCTGAAGCACCCTTGCATGTGCAGCGGTCACGCAAATGGTTTGCTGGAGCCACGCGCATCTGTAGACTAGCGCAGGTTAATTCTCACACTTTTATATAATATTTATAGCTCCTAACAGGCTGTGTGACTATGAGGAATGATTACCTCAAAATGTACGTCGGTATGCAGTTTTTCCTATTGTTCGCATGCCAGTGATTATCCCTCTGTGCCATAGGTTGCCGACCCCTGCTTTAGAGGATGTATCATAATGTTTGCATGATCTTTCGTCCAAGTTAAATGTCTTTAGAGATCACTTTTCTGCTGATGTAACCAAAGCTATGCAGGCAGGTAAAAATCAGGCATTGGATCCAAATAAGAATTTAATAGGCATTGCAGCAACCTGGTAAAATGTTAACCAATAGTATCAGAGCCTAATATGTTCCCTTTCATGATCCTATTATATCCAGATTGATAAGATACACACTCCCAACTTGTGTTTTCTGTTGAATCTTTCAAATTGAAAATGCATGCAAAATTGTTTCATGCATTGCAAAGTCTGATGCATTACAAAAATGTTCATGTATTTAAATTCTTTAATGCATTGCTAAATCTGATATTGATGTTGCGAATTTTTATATTTAAATGCATCAAATAATTTTGTAGTTCATGAAATTTTGCAATGCATTAATTTAAAAAATTTTTTACATACATTTTCCATTGCACCAAATAATTTTGCAATGCATTAATTTTGCTATGTATCAAGTTTTGCAATTACTTTAAAACATTGTTTCATGCATGTGAAATTATTTAATGTATTGCGAAAATTCATTCATTTAAAATATTTGGTGTATTGCAGACATTTTCATGAATTCATATTTGGTGCATTGCAAAATTTCACGAATGCAAAATGATTTGATGCATTGCAAATGCATTTCATGTGGTTTCATATTCTCTTCAATGCTTTTCAACCTTAAGCAGACGGGAGCGGTCCAGGGAGAGGGACCACAGCCGCTCGAGTGAGAAGCGTCACCGCAAGTCTCGCAGCCGAGATCGACGCGAGGACTATTACAGGGAGCGCAGCCGCGAGAGAGACCGCCATCGTGACCGTGACCGCGAGAGAGACCGAGAACGTGAGCGGGAGTATCGCCGTTAGTTGGAGAGGAAGGTGTGTATCCTGTTTGTCGCTGTCTTTCTCCCCTTTTCTTTCAGGATTCAGATGTACATGCTATTGCAGAGGTCGGGATCACAGGTATGTGATCAGAAAAGGTGAGTCCCGGAACCTATACAAGTACTGTCATTTTTTTTTCTCTACAGCTAATCAATTTTTTTTTCTTTTCATTTTACGTATGTAGCGTGATCTGAGTACTCTGATATTTAAAGCATGTGTACCTGGTCTTGAAGCCGTTCAATGTGCAATATCAGCTCCAGCAACCACAAACTGTTCCGCAATTGTGTTGATGATATCCAGTTTGTCTTTGAAAGGATTTTATGTGTATTGCAACCTTTTATTTAAAAAAAATCGATTTGCATTTTAAAATGCAAGTTACTGCACTTATTTGTCCGTTTAACTGAGATTTGCTGCTAGTTTTTAGACCATGCCAATTTTGTCTTCATGTGAGGTCAAACAAATTTTCCCTTATCATATTTTGTCTAATTGACAATGTTTGCCAAAAATTGAAATTCAGGATGCATTTCATGTCTTTAGAGTTGTGGTTATGAAATATAAACTCAACCTGTGACCATAAATGTGTAGAAATTGGTTGTAGTTGGATGAGAGAAAATGAATGTTTTTTTATCCCGTATTGAAATGAGCAAAATCATGTTTCTCAGATTGTGCATTGACATTCCTGTAGACAGATTTGTTGTTGACATAATAATGGTTGTTCTAGTGTTTAGTTCCTCATTGATTTATGAAAAGCAAATGAATGGAGTCAAATTGATCTGCTTTGGCATTTAAAAACATGAAGCTGTAGTCTTCTGTCAGGTTGAGTTGTCATGGTGTAGGCAAATTCAGATTGTTTTGTGTGTTACGGTTTAGTCTTGAGCACATCTGTACAGTATAATTTAAGAAAACACATTCTGAATGTCCTCTGTCAGAGCAAGTTAAATTTATTTTTACTGTGAAGGGTCATTTTGTACATCCTAGTATTTCAGAGTCATTTGCAGGTTTTTAGTAGCTACTCAAACTTTTCCATCTTAAAAGTTAATTTGTTATCTGAATTTGACATTTCTCGGTTCACATCAATTCGTTATTCATTTAATTTCCATGTCTGTTAATGTTACGCCCTCTTAGATGCTTCAGATGTAGCAGTTCTTCACCATTTTAAATGTAAAATATACAGATCTGCAATGTCAGAATGTAGATCATCTGGGCAAATAAAACAATGTATGCCTTTCGTATTATATCTCCTTCAGTGCTTTATGAATGGAGAAGAACTGCTATATTGCTTTTCCAAAGGGAACGTGAACATTTTTAGCATTTTATACTGTTTTTTTTTTTTTTTTTAATTCTCTCTAAACACTCATGTTTGTAATTTAAGTTTGATTTAATATGCAACAGATATTTAATAAATATTTTCAAAATCAGTATTTGGATTAATGCAGCACATGTCCTCAGTTCAAACCCTGTTGGTCTGATTTTAAAGACTGTCACTGTCTAACCTGTTGCTTCATGGCTCTGCCGTGTGACGGTTTTCTACAGGCTAAATTTGTACATAAATGTAAATGCTGAGGACACTGTAATATCATGTGTGATGCATTGTGATTGACCTCACATACACTAGATTTATAGGCATTATGCCAAACAATTAGACTAAAACTGCAACTCGGGTTTAGCATATGGATTGTAAATGCACAACTGCATTGTCAATTTTGTTTAATGTAATTCTGGCTGCGGCCTCCAAGCCAAAAAATGGCCAATTATTCAGGTGGTTGGTTGTTTGTTTTTTTTATTTGTATTTTTCTCTGTATTCCCAACTGTACAACCTATAATTACAGCAACACCAATCAGGGAAAGACAGCAATGCATTATTTGCATTTTATTGATTTGTTCCACTGTTATAAATTCAGAAATTATGTTGCTCTTTTAATACATGATTTTTCTCCTAAAGTATGCTTTTTTTAGATCAGGCTAGATATTTTGAATAGAGATTTTTATGCACACTTAAGGATTTTAAAGCATTTGTTCCATGCGTAGAGCCCTGTTCCATGGGATTTATTGGGATTTTTGGATGTAGTGCCCATCTATCAGGAGTTCCTGTGCAGAAATGACTGTTTTCCCAGGTTATTTGTGTAGGTTTTTCTGAAGTAATGGTCCTGACGTGGTATTTATCACACCCCTTTTCCTCTGTTCAGTATTGTGCTTTATAAGATGCTGCGGTCACAGGATTGGACAAACTTGTGTTTTTGTAATAGTTACATGTACTAATAATTGTCATTCCAAACACAAACTGTAATATCTTTAATGAATTCAGTGCAAGAATTTCCATATGTTAAGTAAAATTGCTAATATTTCTTGTACCAAAATGGGCTGTGATACCGGTGAATATGGCTATAGTAAGACACCAGCTAATATTTTAATCAGTACATTTTATATTTCATGTCCATTTCTCTTGTGACTAACAGAAGGGCAAAAGCAGAACGATTAGTTGCTTAATTATTTGTCCAACCCTGTGTACTGTAACTCCAGTGTTCACTGAACCACTAGAATCAAGCTTATTTGCTGCCTTATTATCGTTTCAGCAACTCCTACAAACTTAATTTTTAGTTCAGAAGAAATTGTGCATTAACCGATGGTAAGCAATTGTAGACAATCATTGCATCCTAAAAAAAAAGTTTTCTTTGGGCGGGAATTGGATTTGAAGTATGGATTTATTGCTTGTTCTCAGAGGTACAGTGGACACTGTACATTCTTTTATGTGCTTTACAAAATTTTTGTCTATGAGGTGAATATTAAGTCAATATTTTTCCTTTTGTAGATAAAAATACAGAAAATACAGGCTAATAGTTCCAGTTTAGTTTAATTGTAATTGAATGACGAGTTAAATGCTCTAAAGAATCTTAAATGATTGGTTGATTGATTGAGTAAAAGGCAATATAAAATAGTGTTTTTAAATATGTATGTATCTTGGCAGATTACCATGTGTAGATCAATGAGTCATGAGTAATTAACCATGATTGAAGAATTGTTTTGACGATGTAAAATTTGAATGTTGTTTTTACACCTTTTAGATGCGGTTTTTCATTAGATATAGATATGAAGTCTACAAAATGAGCACTAATGAGTGATTTGAAGTAGATCACATCTGCTTATATGATTGATTTATATGTGAAATTGTTTTTGTGCAACAAGCAAAAAACTCAATAACTATGAGTTAACCTGGTTTGAACTCATTAGAGATCATACATGTTTTCCACTTACTGAGACGAACCAATCAACCAAAATAATGTCAAATCAGTAAATCATCATACAGGGATTTTTATGCAATATGAATTGTATGTGTCCATAACATCTTATTCTACAGATCCAGCTTATTGCAGTGTTTCATGTTAAATATATTAAAATAGTTCTTTATCCTTATCCTTTATCTTGTTCCAAACCTTTATAATTTTCTGTTTTATTGAACACTGAAGGAGCGGTTTTGCTAAAATACACTTTAAAAATACAACACTACCAAATGTATTTCAAATCTTATGTTGACAGTACAGATGCTGATTTGTATCGATTTGTTTTGGTTGATTGATTTCTCAATGGGACTATAAGCCATATATTTTCATATGACTCTACTAATGCATATTTTGCCATTTGGTTAACTCGTATGAATTACAGTTTTGATGTGAGATATTGTGTGTTTGGGTACTATAAAGTTTGTCATTGTCATGGAAGAATAATAGACATCAGACTATTTTTAAAAGAATAGTTCACCCAAAAATGAAAATGATGAAAAATGTACTCGCCCTCAGGCCATCCAAGATGTAGCAGAGTTTGTTTCTTCATCAGATTTAGAGAAATGTGGCATCACTTGCTCAGCAATGGATCCTCTGCAGTGAATGGGTGCCGTCAGCATGAGAGTCCAAACAGCTGATAAAAATATCACAATAATCCACAAGTGATCCACACCACTCCAGTCCATCAGTTAATGTCTTGAGAAGCCAAAAGCTGCATGTTTGTGAGAACCAAGTCCATCATTAAGCCACTTCAAACCATTGCTTCTAGCCAAAATACGAGTCCATAATCCATAAAAATGCTTCCTCCAGAGGAAAAAGTCCATCAACCCACGTTTGTTTAGATCTGTTTTGGACCATTTTAACTGGTACGCAATTCTTGATCTGTGCAGATTTCTCTCCTGATCCAGATGAGACTACTTTTTCACTGGAGCAAGCAATATTATATACCGCAGTGGTTCTCAAACCTCTGCAACGCTAGAGTTCTGTAAAATATTATATACTCACTCTTAATTCCTGACAGCTCTTTTTTATTTTTTACTTTTATTTGGAAGTAGCTGTGTGCTAAAGTCAGTTCAGCAACATAATTTTTTGCCTGCTTGTTCGAAACACAAAACAACTTTCCAACTACTATAATGTTGTAAATGGTCAGTTAGCTAGATTTGTTTTTATTGGATCCTCTTTTTGGTTTCATGTTTCTTCCCTTTTCCCCTCGTCCATATACTATTTGTAAGTGTCTTTTGCCTTGATTATTAAATAGAATCTGTGTTGTAATAGTGTGTACTGGGGTTGTTGCTTGTTTATATTTGATCCGCTAGTTTGGGTTACTGTGTTGAACATTAAGCCAACCAACTCTTTATTTATAATTCAGAATTGCACATTTCCAAAACTACTTGTTCTACTTGAATATCAGAGTAATTGGTTTGATTTAAGAAACACATTTTGGGTTGTTTGACATCTTAACTTTCTATAGTCATTGTGCCTTTTCCAATTTTATGAGGTTTCGATTATGGATTAATTTGTGTAGTATCTGTGTAATTCCTGTTCACATTCTAAATTATTTGCCAATTCATACAGGGTTTAAATTTTCAGTGGTTTTCTTGATTGTAATTGGAGCTCTACAATTCAAATCTAAAATATGCTCAATTTTTATAGTAATTTTTGTGTTAAAATCAGGTATGTTTAGTAAATATGATCAGTACAAAATATTCTGCATTTGTAATGTCTTATCTGACATCCCTGCTGCCGATGTGTGCATTGATTTGTGTATATATAACAATCTTTGTGTGTGTGTGTGTATATGTAGGACATAATGTAATTTGTCCCTCAATAAGTCTCCTCTTATGTTTGATTCTGCTAGATTTAGAAGGAAAAGTTTACCCAGAAATGGAAATAATGCGGTATTAACTCAACCTTAGTCCATCCAAGATGTAGAGGAGTTATCAAAACCCTTCATCAAAACAGACTTGGAGAAATTTAGCATCACATCACTTGCAGAATATTATTGGAGGAATCATTTGAAGTTAAAAATGTCTTGATTTGTTTCTTACAAAATTTTAACTTTTCACGTCACGAGATGTTAGTTGATTGACTGTAGTGATGTGAATTATTGTGATGTTTTCATCAGCTGTTTGGACCCTCATTCTGACGGCACCCATTCACTAATATAATGCTAGATTTCTGTAAATTTGTTCCCATGAAGAAACAAACTCTTCTATATCTTGGAAGTCCTGAGGGCGGGTACATTTTCAACACATTTTCATTTTCAGTATCACCATTTCAGTAAGCTTTTATAGCTCAATGCAAATTTGTTTCATTAGTTCATTGTACAGAGTTTCCCTTTTCTGTTCCCAACTTGTAAAAAGGTCAGTTTTTAGATTGCTCAGTTTTCTATATGTAGACTGCTTTCGGCAGTTGTTTGTTAGTGATGTAATAAGCAGCATTTCAATATGCAAGGGTATCACTGCTTAATGTAAATATTCAAGTAATTTATTTTGAAACTTTGAATGCATAAAGACATTTGAGAACTGTACTTTTGGGTATTTGACACGTGACATGACCTGTGCATTGGTCACTGCATCTGTTTGGATGAGAGATTAGGGTTTATGTAAACTTGAGGCCTGTGGGCTTTTATTGGTGTGTTTTTGATGGTTTATCACTGTAACTAGAGTAAGCTCAATGTTGGAGTAATTCTAGTGGTTCTTGTAACCGCATCCTCTGGTAGTGAAGTGGACAAGC